TTCTAGAAGTGTCAAAGAATGAAAAAAGTTGGAGGAAAAACTCGAGCATACTTGAATTAAAAAAAAAAAAAATTTAAGGTACTCTGGATTTTAGGCCCACAAAAATCAAGATTTACAAATTATCATTTTATATATAATTAATTTTTAAGCAAATGCATGATTCAGTTAGAAAAAAGACTTCAGGAAGTGATGAAATTCTGTGCATTTTTAGAGCACAAAACTTAGCTGATCAGTTCATTTATATCTTCAGATCACCAGAGACAAAGTACAGTAGTTAAGTTTTGGGGGAGTCAGAAGTTACATGCAGATTTTCCAAAGAAGAGGTAAGGAGGGGGGGTCAGAGCCCTTAACCTCAATCCACCCCCACCTTGTGTAAGGGTCAACAGTACTAAATGTCCTCAAGAGTTTCCTCAAAGACCCGCATCTGTGAGGGTAAAGACCAAGGTCAGGACTAAGGTAGAGCCAGAGGAACCTAGAGCTCAAAATTTAAGGTTCCACACACTCCCTCTTATTTTGCATGACTGAATGAGTGCCTGCTCAAATTCTGGGCCATTGGTGCCCCTCCAGCCTCAATCTACTCCCGTTAAGGTCAATTTCCTCTACGTGTTTTTTTGTGGTTTTTTTTGCAATATTTTGCAAGACATATCTCAAATATAAATTTGGCCATTCAATTTATACAAATAAATATATATTTCTTATGGTCGTCCACAACTTTTATCAAGAAATCTGTGACATGACGCGTAAAAAGCGAAAAGCTGCAGGCATTGATAGATCACGAATTAATCTCAACGGCAATAGGAAGAAACATATTTCTCGATAAATCTGAGATTCCTAACTTTTGCAGAAAAATTTAGCCCTCCAAAGTGCGTGCGAATGAATGAATGAATACATATGTATATATGTGTGTGTGGCTATGTCGCTGTAACACCCTGAAAGGGGATAGAGGAGGCATAAACTCTCAGGACGGTCATGAGTAAAACAAAAACAGCAGCATCGGATCACTTGAAAGACAAGTTAACTGTTCGACATAAATTATAACATAAGCCTACTAAGAGGCCTGAACAAGGACCGTAGAGAGAAGCCGGGTGCCCGGAGGATTTCGGCGGGGTGCACAGTCCGCTCCCAGCAGTCAGGGAGCAGGCTGGAAGCCGATCCGAGTCCGCAGCCCGGAGCCCGGCGGGCAGCCGCAGCCAGCAGGCTCGCCCCCTGCCCCGGGCCGCCTCGCACCCCGCGCGTAGAAGGAGGCCGAGCCGACGCGCGGGGGACCGGGCGCCCCCGACCCACCACAACTCCCCTGATGGCTACCCAGAGGTTCCCGACGAGGCCCGGCTTTCCGCAGAAGCCGGGAGGAGGAAGAGCAGCGGAGGGACTGGGCGAGGAAAGCGACACGAACCCTTCGTCCTGTCCCGAGAGAGACGCCGGAGGCCCAGCCATCACCGCCGCCGGGCCGGCGCCGACGCTCGCGTCGCATCCACTGCAGGGAGAGAGGAGGTTCCGGTGCCGAGGAGGAGCTGAGAAAGGGAGGGGCATGGGTTAAAAAAAAAAATGCGTTTGAATGAAAAAACTTTATTTGGTTCCCGTGGAAGAGACAAACAACGGCCGGCGGGAGGACGAGGAGACCTTCCGGGGACGAGGGCGGGGACAGCGGAGAGCGACGAGAGCAGCGGAATAAGGAAGCGGGCGGAGGCGGAAGCAAGCAGGGACCGGGAGGTCCCAGGCACTAGGGAGCGGAAAAGGTCGGGGCGACGCGGGTCACGTGGTCCGGCAGTCACGTGCACCCGGCGGCTCCCGCCCCGCCCGGCCTGGAGTTCTGAGCGCTTGCGCAGTGCGGGCTCTGGGAGGGTCGCCGGAGCGGCAGTGCAGGCTGCCGGAAGCGGGAGATTCGGGTACCGCTCTTGTCTCTTACCTGCAGCCGGGTCGCGGAAGCTTGCACGCTTGGCACATCCCTCTTCTTTTCCAGCAGAGAGGTCAGTGCACTGCCTTTCCCTACCCAGCTTGTATGGGCGCTCACAGCGGTTCTCACCTTTGATCCCGGCCACTCTGAACCGCTCGGGTCACGGGTTTCACCGGAACCGCTGCGGTGATCCTTTGGTTGACTTAGCTGGGAGTAAAAAAGCGCGCAATCCATAAACACTTACTGACCCTTTTTTTGAGCCAGTGCATAGCGCTTACCGCAAAGATTAAAAAAAAAAAAGAAAAATGCGCTTAAGGAATTGGAAGGCATGCTCCCAAAGATGAGCGCCAGTTATCCGTTGAATCGTAAGCTGGCTGATACTGTTTTCTTATTTGGTATTACTGTTAAGAAGTAGGAAATATGCCCAGTAACTGAGTAGCTGCCTTGTATTTCATTTAGAAAATATGAGTTAAATACCTACTGTATACTGGGCACTGTGATCACAGAAGACACAGCATGGAAGGAAGACCGATCTTATCCTCAAGAAGCTTACATTCTACGGAAGGGATAGAGAAATCTATTCTTTCCTCTTCTGTTTTCTCCTTTAGCTTTGTCACTATTTTTTTAATAATTTATTTATTTTTTTTTTCTTAATAATCTCTACACCCAACATGGGGCTCAAACTCACATCCCGGAGATCAAGAGCCCCGGGCTCCACCGACCGAGCCAGCCAGGCGCCCCTACCTTTGTCACTACTTAACATATATTTTACTGACTTACCCAGTTTATGCTGTCATCTCCAATGTGATGTAAGTTTCAAAAGATAGGGATTTTTGTCTGTTTTATTTTCATGTGTATTATCAGCAATTAGGACAAAGTCTGGCACACGGTAGGAACTCAGTTCATCTTTGTTATGAATTGACAAATTAGAAATACAAGGCATTCAAGTGATGTCCAATGCAATGGAGAAATTCACAGTGGAGGAAGATAGTCGGTTGTGCATTTTAAATGAAGTGGTTTGAGAAGACTTCACTGGGTAGAAGTCTGTTGGAGCAAAGATCTGAGGCAGGTGAGGGAATGAGCCTTACAGATTCTTAGGAGAAGAGCATAAGAACAGTCAGCACAAAAAGTACCCAAATCCATAGTGAATGGAGCAAAATGAGCAAGGCATAGAGCTGTAGGAGATGTTGAGGTGGAGATAAAGGGCCAGAGAATGTAGGACCATGCATCCATTTTAAGGTCTTTGGCTTTGATTTCAAGTAAGATGAGAGGCCAGCATCAAATCTGGTGCAAGAGGAAAGATGTGATCCGACATAGATCTTTAAAGGATTACTTTAGCTGCTGTGTTGAGAAGAATCTGTAGGAGGCGAAGAAAGAAACAGGGAGACCTGTTAGGTGGCTATTAACAGTAATCATGGGAAAGACAGCAGCTTGGACCAGGGTGGTAGCAGTGTCAGTTGAGACCGGGTGCAAATAAAGCCAGTGGGATTTGCTGACCTACTGGGTATGGGGAATGAAGAGGCACAGTGGATTGTAGGTTTTTGCCTTTAGCAAAGATGAGAATATAATTGCTATTTTGTGAATGGGGAAGACCGTGGGAAGAATAGCATCTGTGGGAAGATTTCAGAAGCTCAGTATTAGGCATGTTATGTTTTTCATGCTTATCAGAGCAGTTTAGGAATAAATATTTGCTATTTATCGGAGTGACTTAGGGATAAATTTTTGCTATCCATCAATGTGTAGGTTGCATATAAGGAGCTGAGAATAGAGAAGGACAGTGGCCCAAATACTGAGCCATGGTGCTTTTGATTGTTGAGGGGATAGGAAAACACAAAACAGATGGAAGGTACAACCAATGAGGTAGGAGGAAAATGGCCAGTGTCGAATACCAGAAGCCAAGTGAAGAGGGTGCTTCCAGGTGATCAACTAATCGGATGTTGCTGATAAGTCAGGTAAAATGAAGATGAGAAGTGACCGTTGGACTTAGAAATATGGAGGTCATTGGTGGCCTTGGCAAGTGGGTTTTGGCGAAGTGGTAGGGATGAAAGCCTGACTGAAGTGGATTCAAGAAAATCAGAGGAGTTAGAGACAGTTAATAAAACTCCTTTTAAAGGAAAGGAACTGAGAGAAAAGGTATAGTGTATGGAAGGAAAAATGGGGTCAGGGGAGAGTTGTTTTTATAAGATAGAAATTAAGGCATAATCATATGCTAATAAGAATATGCAGGAAAGGGACACCTGAGTGGCTTAGTCAGTTAAGCATCCGACTCTTGCTTTCAGCTCAGGTCATGATCTCAGGATCCTGAGATTGAGCCCCGCATTGGGCTCTGTGCTCAGCACAGAGTCTGCTTGTCCCTCTCCCTCTGCACTTCCTCATGCTCGCTCTCTCTGTCTCTGGGATACATAAATAAAATCTTTTAAAAATTTCTGCTGAAAAGAAGGAAAAATAAACAGCATGAAAGAGAAAAGAAGGGTTTAACCATTCCTACTAGAGGCAGGAAGGGATGAGACGTGGTGTGCACACGGAGGACCTGGTTCCAGATGAGACCACGGGCCGCTCATCTGTGGCAGCAGAAGGGAAGACAAAGTACATGGGCACAGAAGTAGTAGGAGGGCAGGTGGATCATGGTGAGAGCTTGTGGAAATTCTCTTCTGATTGTCAACGAAAGAGGAAGCAAGATCATTATTAAGAATGAGAAAGGAAGAGGAGACATTGGAGGTATGAAGAGAGAGCACAGAATGGACTCTGGGAGGGAAATAAGTTATGGTTATTGAGCAGCATGAAGGGCGCTCCTGAAGGAAGCGGTCATGATTTTAAAGTGAGACCAGTTGGCATGGTTGGTTGGCTGGTTGTCTGTAGCCACGTTCAGAGGCAGGCACATATTAGGTGAGTTATATTTAATTTTGGTGGATGTGATGTGACATGGGCACGTGGAAGAGAGAGGGATGCAAGAGATTTGAGGTCTACGGGGGGGAGAGAGAGAGATGGTAGACCACAGAATATATACTGAGCGTGGCAAAAGTGAGGTGTGGGGAATGAGGGGCGCTAAAAGGGTGTTTGGATCATTGAATTGTTAGGTCCTGTTGGGGTTGAAGAATTGCTGGAATTGAGGAAGAGGAGTGAGTTTGAAAGACCAGACATGGAGTTTGGAGTAGAGTGCTTGAAACCGAGCCTATGAGGTTGCAGTTGCTGATAACGCACAAAGCTTACGCAGAGCTTTTAGAGTAATTAACAATCTAATATACTTGTAACCTTTAAATTTAGTTTGTACAATTAAAATTTAACTTTCCTGAGATGTGCCCCAGTTTTTAACAAAACCTAAATTTTGTGTGTGTGTTGAACACCTTAAATGCTACATCTGCCTTTCTCTGCAAAGACAGAGAGAAAACACAGTTCTTGTTTGTCCTGTCGCTTTTGCGTTCTTTGTCCTAGTGCTTTATGTGGCTTCTGTATGAAGGCAGTCTTTAGTTTCAAGGTAAGAATTTCCTAGAAGAGAATAGGAGAACCAGTGTATACAAATTTCTAAAATTTTTTATAATTAGTTTCTTTAAAACCCTCTGGTTCAACTGGCAAGGAATAGTACTAATTAAAGGTGAAGTATAGCTAGCTAGTTGGACTAGAACTAAACACAATTCCAGCTTTTGAGATATTTTGAAAGCAGTAGCTTCTAAACATTGCTGTGACTCGCCCTGGTCTTCTTCCTTCTAGAGGTAGGTAATATAGCACAGTGGTTACTGTATCATCTTTGGAATTGGAAAAGCCTAGGTTGTAATTACATTTGTATTTATTATTTTAACCTCATTCTTTTACTAGACTTAGGTTAAGGTGTATTTGTTTTGCAAATGTTTTTACAGAAATATGCTTATTACCTATGGTGAGCGCTGTGAATTGTGTAAGGCTGATGAATCACAGACCTGTACCTCTGAAACAAATAATACATTATATGTTTAAAAAAAAGAAAGAAGATAGTAGAAAGGGAGAAATGAATGGGCCGAAATCGGTGGGGGAGACGAACCATGAGAGACTATGGACTCTGAGAAACTGATGGTTTTAGAGGGGAGGGAGGGAGGGGGATGGGTTAGCCTGGTGATGGGTATTAAAGAGGGCACGTACTGCATGGAGCACTGGGTGTTATACCCAAACAATGAATCATGGAACACTACGTTAAAAAAGTAATAATAATTAATTAATTTTTTAAAATATGCTTATTATCTAGGAGAATATTGTGTATATATGAAAACATGTAAAAACAAAAACACCTTGAACTTCTAATTCTTTTTCTTTTAGCTTGGGTTGTGGTAATGTCAGCCAGACTGTTCAGAGCCCTGGCCGGATCTCACTGTATTTTATCAGAAGTTTGTCAATGCCAAAAACTTGTTCATCGAACATTAAAACCACTTAAAGAATTTGAGACTACAACATGCAGCACCATGATGAGAAGTCAAAACGTGGATTTGTTCTTTCCTGGTACAGCAGCTGGTGGTTTGAGTAAGTCCCCGGTCCCGGAAATGAATCAGAAAATCTCAAATACAAGCATACTCTTTCCATTAAATGCTGTGCATTGCCAGGATGGAAGAGTGCACCTTCCAACTAGGAAATCTTTTGGTACTCACAGGAAAGTGACTCACAAACCGAATCTATTAGGTCCTAAGTGGTTTATAAAAATATTAGAGCGGCATTACTCATCTCCATCAACAGAAACACTTGTTTCTAAACAAGACTTTCCGCAAATCAAGAGACCACTAAAAGCATCGAGGACCAGGCAGCCATCCAGGACCAACCTCCCAGTTCTGTCTGTGAATGAGGTAAAAATGTGTGGTCGTGGCCCAAGGTGGGACTTGATTTCACAATCCTGAGATCATGACCTGAGCCCAAATCAAGAGTCAGACGCTTAACCGACTGAGCCACCCTAGTGCCCCAGGGAATCAACATCTTAGTTTTAAGAATCAATAGTACGTATAAAGACAAAGTATAGGCAATTAAATATAAAAATATAGTTTATGAAAAGATTAGTTATTGACTTAAGGAAACTTAGAGGAAGAAGACTAGTATTAAGTCCAGTGTTGGAATGGTACTGTAAAAAACACCCATTTAAAAAAATTCAAACTAGGAATTCATCAAATTAAAAAAATCATTTTTTAGTAGCTATGTAGACAGGTAAGCATTCATGAGCCTGTGGTAACTGTATGGAATCTGGTAGTGAAATGATATGGCAAGGTACAATCAGAAAAGACTGAGAGGTTTTTGCTTTTTTAGCCTTTGAGGGTTGAAGGGGGCTTTTTTATTCACTGTTAAAGAGGTTTATGGGAGTTTCTCAGCTACACTGCATTTCCCTTCTAAATGATCAATATTATTTAAGGTCAAGATCAAGCCCTTTGCTAGCTTTTGTATGTTGCATAATACCTAGAATGGTGCCTTATACTTAATAAATGTTTATTAAATTGGAAAAGAGAGAAGAGAGGCAAAGGGATCTTTGATGTCCATGGTCATCAACATTAAAAATGGGAATGTAGAATATTTAAAGCTTGATCAGCCTTCTGAATCTATCAGAAAACAGGTTAGATTGTCTGTCTTAAAATCTTGATTCTGAGAAGTAGACCCTGAGCATGTTTAATTTGTGTTGTTTTGTTTTGTTTTTTTCTTACTGCATAGTTGACTTCCTTCAGAAAGGCCTATACATCTTCACTATTGATCCTCAGATTATGAAGTTAGGAGTTGATTCATTCATTTATTTTTGTTTTTAAGTAATCTCTGCACCCAGTGTGGGGCTTGACCTCATGACTCTGAGATCAAGAATCACATGTTCTTCCCACTGAGCCAGCCAGGAGCCCCTTGGAACATTATTTCTGATGATCGTACTTTTCATAGGCGAACACAGTCTTGAGGTGTGACTAGGTACTCTATCCCCAGGGCCAAAGACTGGCTTTTATCTGCCCCAGATGGAGGGCCACTCCATTTCCACATGGGCGTCATGGGGCTGGCAAACCCTTTGTGGTGGTATAGCCCTTTCTCCCCCTCTGGACTGAGACAGGAAGGACTCTGCTTTGTACCAGAGAGCCGGTGTGCTTTGTCTGGATCCCCACACAAGCTCCTGAGCTCACCCTCTTCCTCTGCCACACAGCACGCTCCCAGAATTGACTGAATGAGGTTAATCACCCTCTCTACTGGAATCAAATCTTTCCCTGGTGTCATTTGCAGATATTAACCTACTAAGATACTCAACCCATGTGTCATTGGCTCATAGTTTATCAGGGCAACAACAGTGCTTCCTGTTGGTGTGTCCTGTCTCTCAGGAGGAGCCTGCTGGAGGATGACAGCCACTGTTCTGAGCAGCATGGGGATGGGCACAAAAGGGAAGATGCCAGGTGCCTGCTCGTGGTTTTCAGAGGAACACCCCACTGTGTACTGCAAAGTTAACTAGTGGGTTGTTAATAGTTGTCTCTTCTTAGGTGGGTTTTTTAGAAAGCATCAGAATGTATTACTTGTGGTAGAGCTAATACTATTTTGTGAATTTTTTGTGTCAGGTACTGGTATGTGTGCACACATGCCTATGTGTACTGTGTATACAAAAGGCTTTCTCACCACGGCAGGTAGTCAGAAATTTGCAAGGCAAAGCCTTGTACTGGTAATGTAAAATGTATTTGTGTTTTATAACTTTTATCTGCGATCTATACATAACAGGGAAAACATGCATTTTTCTTTCCGCAATCTAGAAGCAACATTACAGTAATGCATTAATTTTCTTCAGTACTAGAATGTGAATAAAAATAAACTTTCTTTTTCAAGAAAAGTGTTCCATCAGAGTGTGTGATGCGCTAAAACAAGAATCATATATAGATTTCTAGCCCCATCTGCTAGAACATGTTTTCTGTGGCTAGAAAAATGAAACACATATTGAAACACCGTCGCTTTCTTGGCTTTGGGTTTTAGGGTTTTGTTTTCGTTTTTTTAACATTTTTAAAATAGAAAGGCCTAAACTTAGGTGTTAAATCCAGTAACTATTTTAGGTTAATTTGGCACAATAATTCATTTATTTAAGAACGAGTTGTTGATCCCTATCCTAAACCCTGAAATTTGCTCTCTCTACATATAAATATGTGATTCATTATAAAAACCCAGAAAAAGACATGTATAAAAACAAAAGCTTCTCACAATGTAACAGTTTCATTAAGGGGGGGGGGCATGTGAACACAACATACTCCATGGGCCTTTCTTTCCCTTTACCAAATGGATTTGAGTACAATCTTGAAACATAAAGGATATAAAGCTGAAAAAAAGATCTAACAAATCAAACTGAAGAACTTTGTGAATCATTTATTAATAGAAGAAGCCATCAGTTGTTTAAAGAGAGACTGAGATCCGAGATGCATAAGGAGGATACAGAAAGTGGTGCGGCAAGCCCGATAAGCTATGTGACCCTGGCCAGAACTGTGAGCCAAACCAAACATGAGACAGTGAGAGAGGGAAAGGTGACAATCTTCAGAAGGTCTGCAAAAATCCTTGGCATGGCTAAGTAAAAACAGATTGTGTTTCAAGATTTATTTTTTTTGAAGACTTTATTTATTTATTTGACAGAGACAGAGACAGAGAGAGAGGGAACACAAGCAGGGGAGTGGGAGACGGGGAAGCAGGCTTCCCGCCAAGCAGGGAGCCCGATGTGGGGCTCGATCCCAGCACCCCGGGACCATGACCCGAGCCAAAGGCAGACGCCTAACGACTGAGCCACCCAGGCACCCCTCAAGATTTATTTTTAATCTCTTTGGGACTCAGAATATATTTTCTCACGGAAGTGGTGACTGAATGCCTTGCCTTGTCCCATCCTTGAGAATGCAGAGTAGTATACCTGCTTAGCACGGACGAGTCTGGTCCGTAACAGATGATGGTGAAGCAGGCAGGAGACAGCAGGGAGTGGGAGGAGGGCCTGGGTGCACTGGAGAACTGGGGCCCCCTCCTCCACCTTAGTTGATCATTGCCAGATCTTCCACTTGATCAAAAGGCGGTGGAAATCTGGGTTTTGTGTGAAATCTCAATTTGTTGATGGTGAATTCAAAACTTAAAAAGACTAGATGGGTCACCTTTTGAGTTGGAGTTTACAATTCTGATTCTAGAGACAGTTGGCTTCTGCCACTTTCGGTACAGTTATGGAAAGATCATTCACTGGACTAGTTCTTGGACTGGGGCCCCCTTATCGCCTCATCTCTTTTTTTTTAATTTTTTTTAAAGGGGCCTTTTTTTTTTTTTTAAGATTTTACTTATTTACTTGACAGAGAGCAAGAGCACAAGCAGGGGAGCAGCAGGCAGAGGCAGAGGGAGAAGCAGGCCCCCCACTGAGCAAGGAGCCCTATGTGGGGGCTCGATCCCAGGACTTTTTTTAATTTTTTTTTACTAGGCTCCACGCTCAGCCTAGAGCCCAGTGCGGGGTTTGAACTCACGACGCTGAGATCATGACCTGAGCTGAGATCAAGAGTCAAGACGCTTAACCAACTGAGCCACCCAGGCATCCCTGTCCTCATCTCATCCTTTTCGTGCTTCCTGCTCTTCTCCATCTGGCCCAGACTAAGCATGTTAACTGTAGTAGTCACAGAAATAATTCTCACATCCAAACTAATATGCTGTGATTTTGCTTGGCAAGCTTCAGTAAATTTGTTGGGTCTCCTGCAGAGCGGAGCCTGCCCACTGTGGCCATACCTGATGCCCGTTACCAGAATTCCTCTCTTTCATCCGGCTTAATCACATGTCCTGTCAGCTCTTTCTAACTCCATGGAGCCTTAAAAGAACAGATAGTGCTAGCATTCTAAACCGTAAGCACGTGATTGATTCCTCTGTAACTATCCTATCCACACTCTGCTCTATGGATCCATATGGTTTGTACATCAGCATGTTCATACCTTCAGAGTGACTCTGGGACTCAGCTGGTCAGATACCTACCTGCAAAAGGTGTCCTACATTCATGTATCCTCACATTCAACAGCAATTGCTGTTCGTCTGAACAGCAGTTTTTTTTTTCTTCTAATTAAGTTAAAATCATTTTGCTAATGAATGGATATTGGATTGATTTTAGGTTTTTCAGTTTGTGTGTATCCTCAGGTCCTCTGTTTATTCCTCTGCTACTTTTTAAGCCACACATTAAAACGGCATAACAGATTTAAGGAAAAGGCAAAGCAGAGTTAGGCCATTTCCTGAGACAGGGCCAGGAGTTAGGTAACAAATGTGGGAGAGGGGAAGGAATTAATATATAATATATGACTTTTCTGAAACTTTGTACTAGGAATGTAACAGAAAGGGAAAGGGTTTAATGTTGAGATGAGTAACTCCTAGGAGTAAATTTTGATTCAGTGACTCATAAACCTCTTTTAACTGGTGGTGGGCCAAAGCAGCATATGTATCAAATAAGCATAGAATGACCCACGTTCTGATTGGAAATATAAATTATGAACATATGAAAATTCAGATGTAAATTACTTGATAAACTTTTTCACCTCTCATAAATTTTCATGGTTTAAACATACCCGTACGTGCAATAGTAATAACTATAATCTCACAAATATTGACCATTTGTGCTAGCCATGATTCTGAGCAGTTGACATTCATCTGCTTGTTTAAACTTCACAACAATCCTATAAGTAGGTATTTTGTCATTCTGATTTTTTTCTTAAAAACTATTCAGATTCTGTACTGAACTCATGAAGCCTTTGCCAGTAGCTTTGAAGTCAGTGGACTTCATCCCCTAGTAAGAAATACATTTTACATTATATGTACTTAGACATGCATAAGTGACAAAAAAAATACTTCATGAAATAGCATTTACCTGTACTCTGAATGACGTACTATAATATTTTCTATTTTGTTGTATTTAATTCTTTTCAAAAGCTGGTTTAGGACAAGTAAATCGGTAGCAGGCCTCACTGGTGGGTTGTGACTTACAGTGTGACAAAAGCACTGTGCTGTGCCGTGTCCCTTACCCTCTGTGTGCTGCACACACACAGCACAGATGGACACGTGTGTACACAGATGAGACTCCATGCACTAACGAAACCCAGACACATCCTCAGATAAACACAACTTTTTGTTGAGTAGTAACCACAGTAAAAGTTCTGTACATCCTTTGTAGGTTTAATCTCTGTGGTACAGGGCTAGTGACATATTAACAAATGGCCTCAAATAATAGTGTTGCTGTGAAAAAGTCATGGAAACGCAGGCTTGGAGAGACTGTAAATATCATTCCACCCAGGGCCATATGATGCCTTAATCCTCTCCGTATCTTTTGTTCAATCCGCGCTCGCAACACCACCACTCGGGGAGCCCCTCTCTTTTCTGAATAGCCCATTACATCTTTTTGGTGGCTGGCAGGAGAAAGTCCTTTCACAGATTGGGCTGAAATCCACCTCCCTATTCTTTCTCTTCACCCTTATCGTATCCCTTGTATGAACCTTTGAGACATTTAATGAAAACTCTCAAGAGCTTGCTTTGTAAAATGGAGTCCTGGAAGGTAATAGCCATCAGACATTTTTAACCTCTTGGTAACTCATGTCATGCTAATCTCGCCAAAACAGGACCTGATGCACTGCACAGCGTTTGCAACTGCAGATGAATATCATCTCGGGACTCTCTCTCAAGATCTGGCCTCCCATGGATATGTTGAAGTAACAAGCTTGCCTAGAGGTACATCTTCTTGAACCTGGGGCCAAGTATGGTAAAATGTATTAGAAAATAATTTTCCTATGATATGCCTTAAATATGCATTTGTTTACCTTCCATTTTCTACTTAAAAGATTATATCAGGGGCACCTGGGTGGCACACTTGGTTAAGCATCCAGCTCTTGATTTCCGCTCAGGTCATGATCAGGGTCGTGAGATCGAGCCCCATATTGGGCTCCGTGCTCAATGGGAAGTCTGCTGGGGACTCTCTCCCTCTCCCTCTGTACCCCCCCCCACCACACGCTCTCATGTGCGTGCTCTCTCTCTAAAATCAATCTTTAAAAAAAAAATAAAGGATTGTATCACAAAAATGATGTTGAGTCTCCTTATACAAATGGCAAAGATAAGAAATTAAAATGTATTTACAGAGAACTTAGCTCTCAGATTAAAATCAGTATGGTTTATTAAGCTTTATTTGTAGGATCACTGTGACTCGGGATGATCAAAAGCTGTGACACTTCGTTTCTGTTGCATTAAAAAGTTGTTTAGTGTTACAGAAGAACCATGCAATTAATAGAAATGTAGGGAGAGCCTTTATAGAAAAATTTACCAGTACAATCCAATACTTTAAAACTAACAAAATTAGCGAAAAGAGAAATATATGGAACGTCAAAAAAGAGAATTAAACTTAACAGGATTTTAGGATAGTATCAGGAAGGATTCTTGAAAAAAATAGCCTATTTTATATTAAAAAATAAGTAACTTGGAACACTGTGATGGAAATTCATGAATTTACCACAAAGTAGCAAAAATAGCACGTTGAAAACCTCCCTGCTACATAGACGATTTTTCAGTCATTGACCCCATAAGAAACACTTGAAATGTCATTGTGCTCTTTCAGCCGTGGTGATCGGAACAGACTCTTTGTGCTATTTGATGGTAGAAACAAGCATAATTGACTGAGAGAAACAGAGCTATGTCCAGAACCATGAAGATAAAAAATTTTCCAGGTGTATCCTTGACTGATTTCAAAGGCTGTCAGCAGGGTGACCCTGTGCATTACAGCCTGGCTAGCTTCTAGTGCCAGGCCCGCTGCCCTGGGTCTTTTCCATGTCATTTATGTTGCTCTTGGCTGCGTAGGTGAACTTTGCTCTCTGTAGGATGTCATGCTTAGGGAAGTTAGAGCTCACCCAAAAAAAGTAGTGTAGGATTTGGTTTTTATCTGAACACCCCATTCCCCAACCTCTACTAGGAACTCTGAAATTTTGTTGGTCATAATTTTAGGTTCAGGTAATTTTAGGTTTTGCATATTAACCTTAATATATTTGTTAGCTGGGGGCGCCTGGGTGGCTCAGTCGGTTAAGCGGCTGCCTTCGGCTCAGGTCATGATCCGGGGGTCCTGGGATCGAGCCCCATGTCCGGCTCCCTGCTCAGCAGAGAGCCTGCTTCTCCCTCTCCCTCTGCCTGCCACTCTGCCTACTTGTGCTGTCTATCTCTCTGTCAAATAAATAAATAAAATCTTTAAAAAAAAAAAAATATATATATATATATATTTGTTAGCTGACATATTTGTGTATATTTATAATTTATGTTATAGAATATTTTATACTTAAAACAAATATTCACTATGCTAATATATAAAACAACTACTTGCTGATGAATATATGTATATTAATATATATTTAATAATATTTAAAAGGTTACAAATATTTAAATAGTTACAGGTGACTACAGTGTTCTTTTTTTTTTTTTAAGATTTTATTTATTTATTTGACAGAGAGAGACACAGCGAGAGAGGGAACACAAGCAGGGGGAGTGGGAGAGGGAGAAGCAGGCTCCCCGTGGAGCAGGGAGCCTGATGTGGGGCTCCATCCCAGGACCCCGGGATCATGATCTGAGCCAAAGGCAGACGCTCAACCAGCTGAGCCACCCAGGCACCCCTACAGTGTTCTTTCTCATGAATAACTTTGAACTCAGATATGTTTTGAAATGGTCAGTATCTTTGTTTCTGTATATTTTCTGTTGTCTCACACTATATATAATTTAAAATTCATCAAAATGAAAAGTTTGAGAATATTAAAATTATGTTAACAAAATGGTATTTAAAGGAAGAGAATTTTAGAAAGTTTAATTCTTGAATCTTAGTTGTTTTAAAACTAAGACTTTAATCATTAACTGGACTAGTGATTACTGAATGAAAATGGGTGTCAGTGAGTGGTTTTAAATAGTACTAATAGTAGTGTCACAGGTGTTCCAATGTTTTGTGAAAGTAATTTCTTACAGTCTTCTCATTTTCATATGTTAAATGCTTTCAGAAACCTAAAAATGGACAGATTGTTACAGAGCACTTAATGGTATATGAAGGAATGATCATAAGGATTTTATTAAAAGTTCATAGGTGACTTGTAAACCTTGAATCACTTTATGATGGTAGCTTTTCATGCCTTTGTTTTAAATCACAGATGCAGCAAATATTTTGGTGATGGGTGTGGAACACTCTGCTAAAGAAGGTGATCCTGGAACAATATTCTTCTTCAGGTAAGACAAGAGAGCAACCCTACTAGGAAATGGGACTGTGGTCAGATAATGTGGTCTTTTTTTTTTCCTCTCTCCGAGGGGTAGAACCACAGATGGTTTATTTTTATCTTTCTGCATTTTGTACCTTTTCTACATTGTAATTTTTTTTCTTTCTCAAATTTTTATTTAAATTCTAACTAATAACATATAGTGTAATATTGGTTTTAGTGATTCTTCACTTCTATATATATGTTACACCCAGTGCTCATCATAACAACTGCCCTCCTTAATACCCATCACCCGTCCAGCCCATCCCCTCACCCACCTCCCATCAACCCTCTGTTTGTTCTCTGTTGTTAAGAGTTGCCTATGGTTTGTTTCCATCTCTCTCTCTTTTCCCCCCCTTCCCATATGTTCATCTGTTTTTTCTTAAATTCCACATGTGAGTGAGATCATACGGTATTTGTCTTTCTTTTTTTTTTTTTTAAGATTTTACTTATTTATTTGAGAGAGAGAGAATGAGAGATAGCACAAGAGGGAAGAAGGTCAGAGGGAGAAGCAGACTCCCTGCTGAGCAGGGAGCCCGATGTGGGACTCAATCCCAGGACTCCAGGATCATGACCTGAGCCGAAGGCAGTCGCTTAACCAACTGAGCCACCCAGGCGCCCAGTGTTTGTCTTTCTTTGACTGACTTATTTCACTTAGCATAATGCTCCATCCACGTCAATGCAAATGGCAAGATTTCATTCTTTTGATGGCTGAGTAATATTCCATTGTGTATATACACCACTTCTTTTTTTTTTTAAATATGGTTTCTTTTTTTTTTTTAAGATTTTATTTATTTATTTATTTATTTATTTGAGAGAGAGAGAGAGCATGAGAGGGGGGAGGGTCAGAGGGAGAAGCAGACTCCCTGCTGAGCAGGGAGCCCGATGCGGGACTCGATCCCGGGACTCCGGGATCATGACCTGAGCCAAAGGCAGTCGCTTAACCAGCTGAGCCACCCAGGCGCCCTATATACACCACTTCTTTGTCCATTCATCTGTTGAAGGACTTTTGGGCTCTTTCCATAGTTTGGCTATTATTGATACTGCTGTTATATGTATCAGGGTGCACGTGGCCCTTCGGATCTGTATTTTTTTGTCCTTTGGGTAAATACCTAGTAGTGCAGTTGCTGGATCATAGGGTAGTTCTGTTTTCAACTTTTTAAGAAAACTTTATACAGTTTTCCAGAGTGACTATACCAGTTTGCATTCCCACCAACAAGATGGTTCCCCTTTCTCTGCATCCTCGCCAGCATCTGTTTTTTGTGTTGCTAATTTTATCCATTCTGACATGTGTGAGGTGGTATCTCATCATGATTTTGATTTGTATTTCTCTGATGCTGAGTGATGTTGAGCATCCTTTCATGTGCCTATTAGCCATCTGGGTGTATCCTTTGGAGAAGTGTCTTTTCATGTCTTCTGCCTATTTCTTAACTGGATTATTTGTTTTTTGGGTGTTGAGTTTGGTAAGTTTTTCATAGATTTTGGATACTAACCCTTTATCTGATATGTCCTTTGCAGATATCTTCTCCCATTCCATAGGCTGCCTTTTAGTTTTGTTGATTGTTTCCTTCACTGTGCAGAAGCTTTTTATCATGCACAGTTTTGTTTCCTCAGAGTATGTGAAGCATCCTACTTTCCATTCATCTTCAGGGCTCCCTACCAGACTCATGCTATCACCCTGCTGTCTTTTCTTCCTTTTTTCTCCTTCTGCAACTCTTTTGCTTTAGTATAGACCACCTTACCTCTCCAGAGACAGCAGACTGGAACCCTGAGTCACATATACTTACTCCTTTTCGTTAAAGGTTGTTTTAACACCAAATACTCCCGAGTAGCTGAGTGAGAATGGTTATGATAATAGAAACCACTTAAAATAATTTCATCTTGTCCTCACAGCTCTTGAGGAGCCCTATTATTCCTATTTTGCAGCTGGGGAAACTCAGGTGAGAGAGATTAAGGGACTTGCCCACAGTCCTGGGATTGTTCAATGACAGAACAGAAACACATGGAGTGTCTGTAAGAACCCAAACTTTGATAAAATCTTTGTGATAACAGTGCTTATGGTTGATGATAACTGAGCTCCAGCTTGGTTCCTGTCAATGCCTTACCTTCCTTTTGACATAACTTTGGAGATAATCAAGAGTTCAACATGTGGCCCAAGTAGAATAGTGCCCTCTTTGGATTTGAGGAATTTGGATTTCCGAGGGCCTTTAGATGAACACCATCCAGTAGAAATACAGTGCATGCCTCATATGTAATAATACATATTCTAGTAGTCACATTTTTAAAAGTTAAAAAAAAGTTTAATTTTAAACACCAATAATAATATATGTCGCCTGAAATGAATTTTAATAATGTGTTTTATTTAACCCAACATATCCACAATGCTTTCATTTCAACATTCAATCAGTCAGTAATTAATTAGATTTTTCCACTGTTCCTTTCACACTGAGTCTTTGAAACTCCCTGCGTGGTTTTCGTTGCCAGCATTCCTCAGCATGGACTAGGCACATTTTAAGGGCTCCGTAGCCCACATGGCCTCCGAGTGCCACGCAGCACAGCCCAGCTTCCTGAAGGCAGAGGGGCATGATCCCAAGACCTCTCATCTGCCCACAAGTGATACCCTGAAGGAATACTCCTCTTGCTGTGGCTTTAGATACTAATCCCGTCCACCTCCTAGACCCTACATGGGTGGGTTGCCACAGCCAGCTGCCTGGTCCCCCCTGCCTCTCTTCTCACCCACTGCCAGTCTCTTTCCCTGTCACAGACAGGAGCAGTGTTCATTGGACGCTTCTGATCCCTACACTCTCCTGCTTAAAATTCCATGGAACTTGACCAAACTCCTTGTCCCTGCCTCTTTGGCCTGATCGCCTACTGCTTGCTCACATCCACAGCCTTGCAGACAACTAGCTGTCTATTCCGAGATGCAGCCCTGCTCCCTCACACCTTCTCCCTGAGCCCAGGGCGTTCCCTCTGCCCTGTTGCTACCTCCCATTTTCTCCTTTGGCTTAGCCCTACATGGGAACGGGGCCTCCCGCAGACATCGTAGAGGACATTCTGCGTAACTCTCCAGGCACTCACCACTCTACCCGCAATTGGAGGTCTGTCTGTCAGTGTTTTCTAAATCAGGAGTTCCTCCAGGATAGGAACTAGGCCATACTCATCTTTGTATCTGATGCAAAGTGCTGACCCACACATATGCTAATAAGCACCATGCTTAAGAAAGGTTTGAATGATGGGGACCACCGAATTTTTACCTTTCCTTCCTCCAGTGCAATAACCCAGAGCCTTAACTTCTCTCTCTCTCTTTTTTTTGTTTTGTTTTCTAATTTACCACCAAAAAAAAGCTCAACATGTCAAACATGTCATTCAGAGGCCTCCTCTGGCTTCATCGTACTGCTCCAAGCACTGTAAGGATGGGCAGCCTTATTCCATGGGTGCTTTTAGCCATCTTTGGCTTTAATTTATCTCCGTCTCTGTATTCCACAACTATTAAAAGCATGATCCTTTATTCTTTCCCCCCCTATAGCAGAATCTGCCTAATGAGAGCTAAGACGGGTCCCAAAATTTTCCTTATTCTGTACATCAGAATTGAACCAGGTATGAAACAGTCTAGATACATGAAGTTATATAGTATTACAATGATACTTACTTTGCAAGCCATGTGAGAAGTCGTGAATTTGGGGGAGCAGGTTTTATCAAGAGTTCAATAATAGCTCTTGTTTTAGCAACTCCATCTAGGAACCATAATGGCAAATAAGTAATAAATCACATTTTTAAAAATTGCCTTTTGGATATATTCTAGAAGTTACCTAAGCATGACTTTATGTATAGCCCTAAAGAATATATTTCCCCCATTAACTTAGTTGGTTCTTTTATTCTTTTAAATCAGAGAAGGAGCTGCTGTGTTCTGGAATGTGAAAGACAAAACTGTAAGTATACATAAAGTATAAAAGTGTAAAAATTTAGTTTTCTGAGAAAAAAATATTAATTATCAGTCAATAATCTGAGCCACTAGAAGATAAATTAACAGATAATCCACAACTTACTTGCTCTGTATTATGTGATATTTATCCTAGCACTTCTGTCTTCTAAAATGATTGTATTTTGGGGCACCTGGGTGGCTCAGTCAGTTAAGCATCTGCCTTGCTCAGGTCAGGAACCTGGAGTTCCAGGATCCGTGCTCAGCAGGGAGTCTGCTTCTCTCTCTCCCTGTACCCCTTCCCCCCACTTGTGTGCTTGCATGCGTGTGCACTCTCTCTCTCAAATAAATAAAATCTTTAAAAAAAAAAGAATTCAAGAGAACAGAGAGAAATTGTCACTTTTTATTCCTTGATATTGTTTAAATTTTTACATTTTTGTAACTTACATATTTTTTAAAAAGATTTAAAGGCTACAAACCATAATGTTACTAGTTGGTTTTCTTTGGGTTGTGGAATAGGATAATTTTAATTAACTTTCCTAATGCTAATCTGTGTTTTCTAAATATAAAAACTATATATTCTCCTGGTGAGTTTAATATCACAAAGAATTTGCCTTTTCCTTAAAAACTAAACAGAAGAGCTTTGCACAGTGACAGGATCGTAGCCAGTGAGGTTTCTCTGAGGCACGAGTATTGCTAATTTAAAACTAATCAAGAGAAACGTCCTCAAATGTAATGAAAAATGTTACAAGCGTTAACCCTATACCATAGTTCTGTACTGAGAGAGTCCGTATAATTCTGGGTTTTCTTCCTTCTCTTCTAGATGAAGCATGTGATGCAAGTCTTAGAAAAGCATGAAATCCAGCCCTACGAAATCGCCCTGGTGCACTGGGAAAATGAAGAGCTTACCTACGTAAAAACAGAGTAGGCAGCATTTTATCAAGTTTACAAAATGGCATCAGGCAGTGGAGGCGGTAAACAGCTTATGCACCTGGAGACTAATTTTAAGACAAAAGTCGTTGGTACAAATCTAAAGCCTAAACAATATAATAAATATTAGTAGGTAAACATAATTATTTGAACTTGTCAGGCTACCCATAAATTAAAATAAATAGTATAACCCCAAAATGCTAAGTGTCCTAAGGAACCTGAATCAGTAAAATGATCTGTCTTCATCAGAATGAACCTAGCAAGTTACTCTAGTAAAGGTTTCTCATAAGTAAGTCCATTTTTCCCCTCTTGATTTTGCATATGTTACTAGTTGGTTTGATCTAGGAGAACCACTGGTAGAAGTGGGGGTGCCTGCAGGAAGTGGGGGCCTTACATAGCACTCCCAGGGAAGATAGGTGGATGGGCAGCATCCCGGCTGGTTTTCTTGTTTCAGCAAGCAGGGGAAGATGGAGAGAGATGGCAGTGCGAACGGGATGGAAAGGCCTTTTTCCTTGGGGAGTTACCCGTCTAGTGGACTATGGAAAAAGAATTGTTTGTATTCAAGGAAGTGATGAAAGCAGAGCTTTAGGAGAATTTGGAAGTGACACCAGCTGTAGAAAGACAAGATGGGGTCAGAGCTAAGTAATAACAGGCAACAGAGACAAACTGCTTGCCCTGTACCAGGCACTGTTCTAGGTGCTCTCCAGGCAGCCTTTCATTTGGTCCTGACAAAAAGCCCTACAAATGGGGTGAACCAGCTTTCGGACAAGGTTCAGAGATGTTTCGTCCTGCCTGAGGGCACCTGACCAGTGAGTGAGGGCCTGGGCCCAGAGTGGATGTACTTGAAAGTGAGGATGTGAACCCGAGAGACACAACAGAGGAAGAGCTAATAGAATTTTATTAATTTTCAGGGCGCCTGGGTGGCTCAGTCTGTTGAGCGGCTGCCTTCGGCTCAGGTCATGATCCCAGGGTCCTGAGATCAAGCCCCACATCGGGCTCCCTGCTCAGTGGGAGGCCTGCTTCTCCCTCTCCCACTCCCCCTGCTTGTGTTCCTGCCCTTGCCAACTCTCTGTCAAATAAATAAATAAAATCTTAAAAAAAAAGAAAGAAAGAAATGGGTCCTATAACCAAACTATGAGAATTTCTGCTCTATTAAAAAAAAAAACAATTTTATTAATTTTCTTATTAAGCACTTGGCCTTGTGGTTACGCTTCCCATGACCTTCCCTTCTGTGCTCTGTTTCCAGATCAGACTGTTCCGAGGCACCCGCAGACACGCATGCACTCATGCACACTCATTATCTTATAGTCTGTGGAGGAGTAAAGTCCCCAACTGGGGTCTCTTTGGATCCCAGAGTCCATGTTTGGTTTCGCCAGAAAGCCCATCGCGGCACCACCGCCGTGGCTGTTCCGTGAGTCCTGCCGGGGGTCCCAGCTGTTTGCTGCCTCAGGAGACTCTGTAGCATTGGCCCGGCTCCTTCATTAAAGCATCCTGTCACCTCTGCTCTGTCTTGTCTTTTCTTTTTCCTTCCACCTGGGGTTGTCAGCACATTCTGTCTCACTGTGTCCCATTGGGTCCACAGCTTTGCCCATCTCTTGCCTCACATCTTCTGTGACGGTTTACCCTATATGTTTCCTATTTGCCTGACATTTATGTTCCCAAGTTCCCACCCTTTCCCTGTCTCCCAGTCCTCCCAAAGCCCCTCACTGTTTCACCACTTCCCCACCTCCCTCCCCGCTCCCACCGTGTCAGTGTGACTTTGGATATCTAGACACTGTGTAGATAGCTTTATATTCAGCATTTGATCCGTTAGCAATTTATTGTGGTCATTTTTCCTTTCTACAAAACATCAAAACACATTTGTTCATTTTGGCTATGTGGATTTCCTATCAATGAACCATTCTCCTATTGAACATTTAGCTTCTTTCCTGATTTTTTACTGTTAAACATTTGACCATAAAAAAGTTTTCCTACACAGATCTTTCTTTGTGTCTTTGATTATTGCCTTAGGATAAATTCCTAGAAGTAGAATTACTCAGATCAAAGGGTATAAGAGCATTTATAAGATTCTTGGTACAAATTGCCAAAATGACCTCTAGAAAGAGTATAAGGTGACTACTTCAAAAGAAAAAAAAAATTTTTTAAGAAAAAATAAAGAACTTTTTAAGATTTAGAAGATAATTTTTTTTCCCTTTTCACAGGGGACAGTCGAAACTTCACAGAGGGGAAATCAGATTAAATTCAGAGCTGGATATAGATGACGCCATTCTAGAGAAATTTGCTTTCTCGAATGCTCTTTGCCTTTCAGGTAAGTTAATGCTACTGATCAGAGAAAAGTGTTACATAGTTTTCATTTCAGCGGGGAAGTTTAAGCATTCAGTAAAGATTTAGGCATGTTTTCACAGATTACTTAGCAAAGCCTTAACATTTCTTTCCCAGAGGAAAAAAAACAGAGAATAAAGTAGAGTTGTCTGTGCTGAAGCTATTCATTCTTTTTTAACTGTACGGATAAAACTTACCCTCTCCAAAAATATTTTTTGTACCATCGTTACCCCCTTTGTTTTCCTGTCCTCTTCTGCGTGGTGGTGGCTCTCGGGTTGTCCCTAATCCAGGCAGAGAAAGCCCAGTGTGACTGGGTGCAGGCCTCTGGGGAGAAGCGCACGCCGGTTCCTCCCAGCGGTGGGTCGGAGATCCATGCGCTGAATAAAACTGCAGACGTTCTCTAGGAATTGTATGGCCCTCCCCTACACTCAGCTGCGGCTGACGTGGCCTTGTCCACGCCACTCCGGGAGGCTTCGGGGGCTCGCGAGCTTTACACACAGCCCTGAGGGGAGAAGGAGTAGGAGGGACGGCGGGAAAGGCCTGGTTCCTGCTCCGTCCACAGAGCCACACTTCCCTTCAGGGTGTACCTTATCCTCTCTGGGTTTCTGAGATGCAGCATCAGAAAATCAGGAATTCTACCAAATAGTGCTTTGGTCGGCCAGCAGGGCTTGGATATCTACTGTTTCCTCCCTCTTTTTCATTTTAGCGCTATCCTTGATAATGATAATGAACTGTGCTTAAGTTTCACTTGCACATTGTTAGCACATTTGCTTCTTAAACTCTTGTTGAAATGGTGGTGAAGGTACCGGGCAATTAATGATGCATTCTGTCTAAACATGAATATGATGATGAGAAAATGTTCCATTGTTATTCATTTTTTCCCCCCAGTGAAACTGGCTATTTGGGAGGCATCACTGGATAAATTTGTTGAGTCTATTCAGTCAATTCCAGAGGTAATTATACCAGTTTTATGCTTGTTTTCAAGGATTGATCTCTATTTGGGAAAAATACTGTTTTCCCACCCTAACAATATACTTAGGAGTGCAATAAAGTAGTAATAAATGCTAGAAAAGCTACACTGAATTTAAGCAAAAACAGAACATTCATTATATCTAAAATTAAAAAATTTTAGATATATATTTTTTTTACTTTTGAAAACTTAGAATTCTAATTACTTTCTTCTGGTGGTGTAATATTTTTAACATAACTATGCTTTTTTAAAAAGTGAGGTATTTCCTCTCTAAGGAAGAGGATTATGACCAGTCTTCTTGATTGAAAAGTGTTTTGCTGAATTATGAGACAGATAGTGGCTTGAAAAGTACATATTAAGTTATATCAGAATACGCCAAAACTCAGGTTTACTGTAATTTTGTTTTTACTGTGAAAGAATGACAGAGTTATACTTGGGAAGAGAGGCCCTGCTTTTTCAATAAGAGATTAGAAATGTAGATCCTAGAAAATGCTATTGAGAAGGGAAATGGAACAAGGGAATATACAATTTCTACCTAATAAGATGTTGAAATTTCGAAGAGAAATGACTGAGAGACATCAACCAAGAGATGTATTTACATCTGCTCTAGAATGTGCTTTATGGTCCTGTCACTTGTTGGAGATATGTTTGTATGGACGTATGTATGTATGTGTGTATTTTTTTCCCTCCCAAATAGGCTTTAAAAGCTGGGAAGAAAGTGAAACTATCTCATGAAGAAGTTATGCAGAAAATGGGTGAACTCTTTGCCCTGAGGTAGAATTTTCTCTGTAAATAAAATTAATGTATGTGTGTAACAGTCTGAAGAAGACATTCCTGTACGTGTATGGTGAAAGGCGAGCGTGTGCCCTGATGGGAAGTGTATGCACTTTCACCTCACAGATGTTAAGCCGGCAAGGGGGCTCTTACCCATTAGAGGCGCTTGGGCTGTACTAGGACTGCCCTGCAAGAAATTCTGCGTTCGCCCAGACATCACAATTAATCTACATTAAATCTATGTAAAGAAGCCCAGTAGATGTTCTTTGTGGGTAGAAAGATATATTCTAGAATTTGGGTAGTGGGAATTCTCAGTAAAAATATCTCATTGCATCTGGAGAATATAATGCTAAGCAAAATAGGCCAGTCAGAGAAAGACCAATACCATATGATTTCACTCGTATGTGGAATTTAAGAAACAAAACAAATGAACAAAGGGAAAAGAGACGAACCAAAAAACAGACTCTTAACTATAGAGAACAGATGCAGATGTTGGGGGGGCGGGTTGTAGAAATAGGAGAAGGGTACACTTATCATGACGAGTACTGAGCAATGTATCGAATTGATGAAGCTCCATATCGTACACCTAGTATAACTAATATAACACTATAAACTACACTGGAATTAAAATAATATATATATTATATATAGGAAGTAAATAATATATATATATTAAGATAATATATATATTATTGCATGATATTGCTAAATAGAAGCAAGTGCTCCGGAAACGTTATATACTGTGTGTCAACTCTTGAGACGTGCCGTGAGATGCCAGAGCTGGGACAGATGCTACGACAGTGCTTTTTTTTTTTTTTTTTTTA